TGTCTCCACAAGGCCAGGTAGGACTGTACTGGCCAATGAGATGTGCCTGGACCCCTCCAGGCACTGTCCCCCCCAGCCCCGCCACCATGGGGAGCCTGACTCCAGCTGTGCCAGTCTCTGTGGTAGACGCTGTGCAGACGCAGGGGTTGGTTCCCCCAAACCCAAACACCCACGTCCTTGCTCTATTCTCCTGCTTGGAGGGACACCTGGCTCCAGTGGGTGGAGATGGGGGTCCCAGGGAGACCCACTGCTTCCCATGAGTCCCTGACCACCCCCACTGATGTCCCCAAGCCCCCATGCTTGTGCTGAGCCTTGGCTCCTGCTTCTTTCCTGCCAGATGCTCAACCTCTGCTGCCAAGTCCCTGCTGTTCCGGTTCCTGCCCTTCCTGCGCTGGCTGCCCCGATACCCAGTCAAGGACTGGCTCCTGGGGGACATTGCCTCAGGCTTCAGCGTGGGCATCATGCACCTGCCCCAAGGTGAGTTGTGCCATGCCCAGGCTGCCAGAAGCTGCCCACAGGTGAGGGAGGGGCAGAGTTCAGCCATACATGACGTGTCTTCTTGCTCCACCATGTCCAGGGCTTGCCTACGCGCTGCTGGCCGGCCTGCCGCCCGTCACCGGTCTCTATTCCTCCTTTTACCCCGTCTTCCTCTACTTCTTCTTCGGGACTTCCAGACACAACTCCGTGGGTGAGATGAGGGTCCACATGCTCCCACGGGGACAGTGGGGAGGGAGTGAGATAAGCGGAGCAAGCCTGCATCCATGGCACAGCATTGTCACATCAAGGGTTCGGGGGGACCTTTCTTGCCATTACTTTACCCCACCAAGGAGCTGCTTGGCCAGCAGAGCTTAAGCACAGTGTGCACACTTTGAGCTCAGCCCAAGGACACAGGTGCCTGTGCAGTTCAGTGAGGTCCCAGTGCTGATCTTGGGCTCCCTGCTCACACCCTGCCCATCTCCAGGGCCCTTCGCTGTCATCTCCGTCATGATTGGGAGCTTGACGGACTCCCTGATGCCCAGTGAGAACTTCATGGAGTCTGTCAACGGCAGTAACATGACAGTCAATGAGGCGCTGCGGGATGCTGCCAGGGTGGAGCTGGTGGCCACCATCACTGTCCTGACGGGAATCTTCCAGGTAAGGGAGCCCCAGCCCAGCCTGGCAGGGAATGGGGAGCTGTAGTGCCTCAGGGCTGCAAGTCGTGGGTCACTTCTGCCACCTCTCCTTCCAGGTGGCCCTGGGCCTCCTGCAGTTCGGCTTTGTGGTGACCTACCTCTCGGACCCACTGGTGCGTGGCTACACCACTGCTGCCTCCGTGCATGTCCTTGTCTCCCAGCTCAAGAACGTCTTCGGGGTCTCTGTAGGCGAGTACTCAGGGCCACTTTCAATGTTCATGGTGAGTGGGGGCTTGCTGCTGCCTGGGACCCACTGGGTGCTCAGCTGTGGGGTACAAAGAAGCTCCCAAAAAACCTGCCAGAGAGGGAGGCATCTGCTTTCCTGAGCCCATTACTTCCTCTTGTGTTCTCTAGACCATCATTGAGATCTGCAAGAAGCTGCCAGAGACCAATCTCGGCACCCTGGTGACGGCCCTCATTGCCATGATAGCCATCTTCATCGTGAAAGAGCTCAACCACAAGTTTGCCGCCAAGCTGCCCATGCCCATCCCCATTGAGCTTATCACGGTACCCAGAGCTGCCCCACCTCCCTGTGGGGACGCAGCCATGGGTAACCCAGTGCCCCCCAGGGTGGGAAGGGGTGGGGAGGGGTGCCTTTGGTGAGTGCAGCTCCAGGGCGTGCGTCCCCTCCTCCACCATGATCCCTGAGCAGGAAGGCCCTGCCTCACTCCAGCCATCCTCCCTCAGATCATCATATCCACTGGCATCTCCTACGGTGTCAACCTGAACGCCAAGTTTGGCATCTCCGTGGTCGGCAACATCCCCAGCGGGTGAGGACAGGGTGGTGAGGGTGGCTGCTCAGGGGCACCACATTGCCCATGGGACTCCCTTTTGAGCGCCACCTCCCTGTCTTGGCTGCAGGTTGAAGCCACCCGTGGCCCCTAATGTCAGCTACTTTGGGCAGGTGGTGGGCAACGCCTTCGCCATTGCTGTGGTGGGCTATGCCATCTGCATCTCCCTGGGCAAGATCTTTGCCCTGAAGCACGGCTACAAAGTGGACAGCAACCAGGTGATTCTCCCATGTGCAGGGCCCCTTCCCTGGGTGAAAACCAAGCTTGTGGTTCTTGCAGTCGGGGGAAGTCGTGCTCCCCTGCTGCTGCTCTGTCCCCGCAGGAGCTGATCGCGCTGGGCCTCTGCAACTTCCTTGGGGGCTTCTTCCAATGTTTCGCCATCAGCTGCTCCATGTCCCGCAGCCTGGTGCAGGAGAGCACAGGGGGCAACAGCCAGGTGGGTCTGGGCTGTGCTGCTTCCCTCCTTGGGGCTGGCCAGGGGGCAAGGAGCACAGTGAGCGGTGGAGGCTCACCTCTTGCCTCCCACTCTCCTTCCCTTCAGGTAGCCGGTGTCATTGCATCTCTGGTCATCCTGGTGACCATCCTGAAGATCGGAGAGCTCTTCCGGGACCTGCCCAAGGTACATCTGGTCCCAAAGTTTCCATGCTATGTCCTAGCCTCGGGCCTGTCCCATGGCAATGTGGTGTGGCAAGTGAACAGCTAAGCCCCCTTCCCAGACGTGCCCTCAGCATCATCATAGCTGCAGGGACTTCTCTCCTAGGCCATCTTGGCTGCCATCATCATTATCAACCTCAAGGGTATGTTCAAGCAGTTCACAGACCTCCGCACGCTCTGGAAGTCCAACCGGGTGGATCTGGTAAGATACTGTCCAGCCCTGGGGCTTTGCTCTTGTCCCTGGAGAGGGTTTCTCCACCTTTCCTGAGACTCGCACTGTCCCCCCTCCAGATGGTCTGGATTGTGACGTTTGTGGCAACCCTCCTGCCGAACTTGGACATCGGCTTAGGGGCCTCGGTGGCCTTTTCACTGCTCACTGTCATCTTCCGCACTCAGCTGTGAGTACCTGGGGGCTGGGACCAGCACCATGTCCCAAGGGCAGGAGAAGACCGTGGTGACCTCAGACCCTTGCTCTGCTCCCCGCAGCCCCCACTACTCCATCCTGGGACGCATCTCCAACACTGAGGTCTACAGGGACGTGGCCGAATACCAGACGGTAACACCACCAATGGGTGGGAGAAGAGACACCTGCAATCACGGGGGCAATCCAAGTCTCTCCCCAGGAGCTGTTCACTGGGGAAAGAAGTGGGGGAGCATTTTAGGGTAAGGAGAGAAGGGGAACAAGGGGCTCCACCCCCTCAGCGTAGCATCCTCCCTGTCTGCCTCCAGGCACAGGAGATCCCCGGTGTGAAGATTTTCCGCTCCTCCTCCACCCTTTATTTTGCCAACGTGGAGCTGTACGCCGATGCCCTTAAGAAGAAGGTAGGAGAGCCAGCAGCCTCCCAGTGCCCCCCTGCCTGCCTGTGCCAGCGCAGCAATGGGGCACCGGGGGACACTGAGCTGTATCGTTTTGCAGAGCGGCATCAACGTGGACCGCCTGATCGAGAAGAAGAAGAAGGCCCTCAAGAAGCTGAAGAAACAGCAGAAGAAAGTGGAGAAGGAGAGGGCAAAGAGGAAAAAGGTGCTTCCCTGCCGCGAGGTCCGCTCTGGTGCCAGCCCACATCGCCTCTCTGCCCAGCCCTGGCCGTCCTGCCCGTGCGTTCACCCCATGGGGCTCCAGTTCAGTCTGGGTGCCAAAAGGCACTGGGGCAGAGCCAGGCGACGGTGTCACACCCAAGGTCAGCTGGGAAATCCAGGCTGTTAATGATTAGGTGGCTGAGCCAGTAAGTCATTAGCCATTTTACAAGTTAATCGGAATTAAGAGCTAAGAGCAAAGGCTGATCTTGTGCCAGTTAACGAGCCCTGTTCTGGAGGGGTCATTGGGAAAAGGGTTGGGTCCTGGAGCATCTGGAAAGAGCCCAAAGGTGCAGGTGAGGCACTCACTTCCAAGGCAACCCAGTGCCCATATCCTAAGGCAGCCAGAGCCTTGCCTAACGCACAGAAGCCTGGGGGGGCACACGGCCCAGCCAGGGGTGCTGCCAGCCCCCAGGCAGTGAGGCCGGGTCTCCCTCCTTCCCCCAGGACATGGAGGATGGGCACAACGGTCCAGGCATAGCCGTGATCGAGCTGAGCAAGGCAGAGGGCAGCACGCCCCCCAAGCCCACTCTGCGCAGCCTGGGGCTGCCCCAGCCCAGCTTCCACGCTGTCATCTTGGACTTCAGCTCTGTCAGCTTTGTGGACACTGTCTCCATCAAGATTCTGAAGAATGTAAGGGGCCACGCTGGCAGCCCCTGAACGAGGCTGTCCCCAGGGCCCTGCGGGGTGGCCTGATGGCTGCTGCCCCAGCTCTCTTCCCTGGGTGAAATGTTTTCTGCCATTTGCAGATCTTCAAGGACTTCAATGAGATAGAAGTGGATGTCTATATCGCCAGCTGCCCGGGTGAGGAGGCTCTGCAGAGCCATCAGCCCCTGCCAGGCATGGCTCCCTTCTTTGGGACACAGCTGCTGGCCTGGGGGTCCCTCTGTGGTGACCCCATCCCCAGGGTTTCCCCGGGGCACAGGTGCTCCAGGTTGTC